TTCTCATTGAAAAAGGAGTGGCTTTTTTAGCTCCGTTATCTTCTTTTGAATATGAACCCAGATATTCTCTATTCCCATAGTAGCTATGGTTGGGTTCTTTCTCCTTTGCTTACCCATTTTTATATATTTTGTTGTTAGCAGCTATTAATATAATCAATTCCTAATCCCCAGATATGGGGAATGATACCCCAAGCCTCACTCTTACTGTTATTTTCTGAGGTCTGTCCTGGGGCCTAACCTTGGGCTTTCCTTTCTACTCCTAACCCACTACGAGGCGACTGATCTTGCTCCTTGGGGTTCCTCTGGTGGCTGCAAACTACAGATGTCCTCTCTACCCTGAAACTGAAACCAGGCACTCTGCTCTCCTGCAAGTGCCCACGGCCAGCAGTGTGCTCAGCTCTCTGTTTGACTTACCAGGTGTCTTCTAGCTCCTTCTCCCCTACAGCCACAGCCTAGGACTCTTCTGGTCAGGAAAACTGTGCTTGGCATCCCGGGATAGTGGAAGGTCCTCCTAATCAATCGTCAAACCGTTGCACTTTCCACCAAATCAGAGTTTTAAGGCTGAGGCTGCCTCTCGACCCAGTTACCGCCAGGGCTTGTTGTTTGTTGATTCTGCTGAGTCAGCCTGGAGATATTTGCACTTCACTCAGGCAGAAGCTCCACCCCTGGAGGTTGGGTCTTTCCTGGGATCTTCTTAAGTAGTCTTAGGAGGACAACTGCTTACAACTTTTTTCTCTGCTGCTGTACAATCCCTCAGAGGTAATGTTTTGTCTTTTTTTGTGGAGGAAATTTAGAGAGCAGAAAGTTTTCACACCTATTCTTCCATATTCCCAGAATTCTCTCCCAATTCCTGTTATTCTTGATAGGCATTGTTGTATCGGGTAGAGAGCCAGACTTGAGCCAGTAAGATGTCCCATCACTTTCATACTATGTGATCTTGGGCAAGTAATTTATAAACCCTTGGTGCCCCAGACAATGCTTCAAGACTCTCAAATTGCAGGACAGTTGTTCATCTGTATTCAACCCCCATAAAAGGGGTTTGTTCTTCAGGAGTTCTCTACATCAAAGAAATCACAGGTCCAGACCAATTCCCTACCCCGCACGCTCCAAATGTATTGTCAGCTTCACATGTGACTGAAGGTGTATGTGCCATAGAAAATAATTTGTGAAAATTTGTTCTCTTATTTTCTCTTTTTTTATTAATTTATTTATTTTTAGTTTTCAACATTCACTTCCACAAGATTTTGAGTTCCAAATTTTCTCCCCATCTCGCCCCTCCCCCCACCCCAAGATGGCATGCATTCTGAATACCCCTTCCCCTAATCTGCCATCCCTTCTATCTCTCCCCCCCTTCTCCTATCCCTTTACCCTTCAGTTTTCCTGTAGGGCAGGATAGATTTCTATACCCCATTTCCTAGATATCTTATTTCCCAGTTACGTGTGAAAACAATTTTTTTTAACATTTGTTTTTAAAACTTTGAGTTCCAAATTTTCTCCCTCATTGAGACGGCAAGCAACTCGATACAGGTTATATATGTGTAGTCATGCAAAACACTTCCATAATAGTCATGTGTGAAAAACTAAGTACATTTCCCTTCATCCTATCCCATCCCAAATGTATTCTATTTTCTCTTTCGACCCTGTCCTTCCTTAGGAGCATTTGTTTCTGATTACCCACTTCCCCAATATGCCCTTCCCTCTATCATCTCCTTGCTCTCTTGTCCCCTTCCCCCCATATTTTCCTGTTGGGTAAGATAGATATCCATACCCAACTGAGTATGTATGTTATTCCCTCCTTAAGCCAAATCTGATGAGAATAAGATTCACTCATACCCTTTCACCTTCCCCCACTTCCCCTCCACTGTAAAAGCCTTTTCTTGTCTGTTTTATGTGAGATAATTTACCCCGTTCTACCTCTCCCTTCCTCCTTCTCCCAGTATAATTCTCTCACCCCTTAATTTTATTCTCTGGATACCACCCCTTCATCTTCAACTCACCCTGTGCCCTCTATTTGTCTGTCTATCTATCTGTATACATACATATAATTTTTTCCCTCCAACTACCCTAATACTGACAAAGGACTCATGAGTTACAAATATCATCTTTCCATGTAGGAAAGTAAACAGTTCAACCTCAACAAGTCTCTTATGATTTCTCATTCCTGTTTACCTCTTCATGTTTCACTTGTGTCTTTTATTTGAAAGTCAGATTTTCTGTTCAGCTCTTGTCTTTTCAATGCTTCAAAGTCCTCTATTTCCCTGAATTTCCATTTTTTCACCTTAAGGATTATACTCAGTTTTGCTGGGTACTGATTCTTGGTTGTAATCCTGTCTCCTTTGCCCTCTGGGACATTATGTTCCAAGCCTTGTGATCCCTTAATGTAGAACCTGCTAAATCTTGTGTTATCCTGATTGTGTTTCCACAGTACTTGAATTGTTTCTTTCTGGCTGCTTGCAATATTTTCTTCTTGACCTGGGAACTCTGAAATTTGGCTACAATATTTCTAGGAGTTTTCCTTTGAGGATCTCTTTCAGAAGGTGATTGGTGGATTCTTTCCATTTCTATTTTGCCCTGTGGTTCTAAGATATCAGGGCAGTTTTCCTTGATAATTTCTTGAAAGGTGATGTCTAGGCTCTTTTTTTGATCATGGTTTTCACATAGTCCAATAATTTTTAAATTATCTCTCTTGGATCTCTTTTCCAGGTCAGTTGTTTTTCCAGTGAGATATTTCACATTGTTTTCTATTTTTTCATTCATTTGGATTTGTTTTATAGTATCTTGATTTCTCAAAAAGTCACTAGCTCTCCATTGTAATTTTTAAGGAAGTATTTTCTTCAGTGAGCTTTTGGACTTCCTTTTCCATTTGGCAAATTTTGTTTTTTTAAGGCATTCTTCTCCTCATTGGCTTTTTGGACCTCTTTTGCCATTTGGGTTAGGCTATTTTTTAAGATGTTACTTTCTTCAGTATTTTTTTGGGTCTCCTTTAGTGAGCTATTGACTTGTTTTTCATGATTTTCTTGCATTACTCTCATTTCTCTTCCCAGTTTTTCCTCTACTTCTCTTACTTGCTTCTCAAAATCCTTTTTGGGCTCTTCCTTGGTTCTTGGAGGCTTTGGATGTAGGAGCTTTGACTTTGTTGTCTTCTTCTGGTTGTATGTTTTGATCTTCTTTGTCACCAAAGATTGTATGGTCTGACTTTTTTTGTGAGGTTTGCTCATGATCCCAGCCAGTTACTTGAGTTATAAACTCTTTGTTAAGGTAGGGGTCTGTTTCCAGGGTAGAGAATGTACTGTCCCAAGTTTCAGGGGTTTTGTGCAGCTGTTTTCAGAGAGACTTCTAGGGACCTGTAAATTTTCAGTTCTTCCACGGTGGTATGATCAAGGGTGGGGTGTTTATTCCTTTCCTGGCCTGTGCTCTGGTCTATGAGAAGATTTCCTCTCCACCACCACTACAAGCTCCACCATGCCGGCACTTCTCCTCACCCCAGGACTGCCATCCAGAACTGTGACCCAGATCCAAGCCTGGGCAAAGCAAGAGAATCCTGCCTCAGTACCAGCAAAGAGATCCCTGCAATCCCTGTCTGATCAGCTACTTGATTCCCCCTCAGCCTGTGGGTCCAAAGCTCTGGAAGCAGCCTCTGCCCTGGGGCCGCACTTGAGGATGGGGCTGGGACTGAGCTTCACTCTCACCGGGGTTTGACAGACTTTTCTTACTTGACCTTCTAGGTTGTCTTTGGTGTTTGTGGGTTGAGAAGTCTGGAAACCGCCACAGCTGCCTGGGATTCAGTCCTCTGAGGGCTGCTCCAGGACTGCCCTGGGCAGCCCTCTGAGGGCTGTCTTGCTGAGGCCTATTTTGCCTGCATGCCCAAGTTCCTCTCCCTGCCCGGCACGATAGACCTTTCTGATCAAACATCCAGGTTGTCTTGGGCTGGAAATTTGTTTCACTTTGTCTTTTTGTGGGTTCTGCTGCTTTAGAATTTGTTTAGAGCCATTTTTTACAGGTATTTTGGAGGGGTTTGGGGGAGAGCTCAAGCAAGTCACTGCTTTTACTCTGCCATCTTGGTTCCCCTCCCTCTTATTTTCATCATCTTTAAATGTGCATATAGATTTTTTTAGATGAAATGACAGGTAATTTTTGATATCTTATGTCCTCTTGATGGTTTGTTTTGCATAAAAATACTTTCTGAGCTTTGTAATAATTTGGCATCTCCTCTTTAAACTGTCTTGAGTATTAATTTTTCAAGGTTTTTAAAGGACTCTTATGTCCTCCTGACTCCCTGCCAGTTGTTATGTCTGGGATCATTTTATGTCAAATGCATGAAAACTACAAAGCCAAGACCATTTCACCAGCATTTTTCACTGTAAATAGAATAAAAAAGTGAAATTTAGCATGTAAAATAGAATAGCAATAGAAAAAGTCATTCACTATGGTTTTATTCTTACGTACGTATCTCATTAAAATTTTAGTTTTTAGAAGTTTGGAGTTTAAATGTAACATTATCTGAGTCGTTTTGCATTTTCTCCTTTCCTTTAAAAAATCTGTGCCATTCTTTGTAAGACAAAACATAAATGATCATTTGATGCTCTAAATTGCTTTTGATAAATTTTATACTGCTTAACCACAAGTTTGCTTTTTTCAAATAATATGGAAAATTAAAAGAGCAAAATTTTGTAGGCAAATTTAGGAGTCTATGCGTTAATGGATATTTCACTTAGCTCTTGACCAATCTTTTTAAAATTGAGTTACATTAAAAATTTGAGATAAAAATGAAATGCAAATAATATATAAGCCTATAGAATTTTAGAGTTGCCATTTTAAGCTGTTATTTAGTCCCTTGTATTATTACCTTATGAGTGATATGAATAGTAATGTTCAAATTATTGAATAGATTCCTAAACTCATGATGATTAAGTTCCTTATAAATATAAGGATTAATATAAATATTTGTTAAATGCCTTCATTTCAAAAATACATAAAATTTTATTTTTCTTAAATTGTAGGATAATAGAGTCCACATTGGACCTAAAATGGAGATCCGGGTTGTCACTCTAGGATTAGATGGTGCTGGAAAAACTACTATTTTATTTAAGTTAAAACAAGATGAGTTCATGCAACCCATTCCAACAATTGGTAAGTATGAGTGCTTTCTAATCCAATAGACGTTTTACAGACAGATCTATAAAAGGAATTGCTTATGTGCCCAAAAAATGTGTTTAATTGGATTGTTTCGCGTTCAGAAAACATTTTCTCATAGAAATATTGTTAATAAGGTTTCCAGGCTAGGACATATAAACCCTAATGTAGTTGAAATATTAGTATTCTAGAACCTGACTTCATAGGTTTAATATTATTTTTGTGGCCAAGCACATTGAAAGTAACAGCTATGTACAAGGGCATCTTACCTTCTGCAGAAGGAATAGTAGAAGCACACTTATCCAAATTGCCCATCTTGGTTGGAGTAGGGGTTTTCTTGTCTTTGAGATTCCATCCTTGAGAGCTTTGGATGTGATGGCTGTTGGAGAAGGAGAGGGGACAGGGATCTGGTGATGGAGGTTGGGGAAGAGTGAGGGGAAGAGTGAGGGTAGAAGTGATGGTTCTCAGAATAGGGACTGATGAGGGGAAGTGTGTCCTATTCCAGTGAATATCCCGTGATCACAACTCTTGTCTCCACAGGGAATCCAGTTTTTTAGGGGGAGTGAATTCTGCCTTTCTTATGTTGCTTGTGGTTTTTTTCTTTGTTCACTAGGAGTACGAGGGCTGCATACAAATAAAAGTTTTTCTTTCAACAGGTTTTAATGTGGAAACTGTAGAATATAAGAACCTAAAATTTACTATTTGGGACGTAGGAGGTAAACACAAATTAAGACCATTATGGAAGCATTATTACCTCAATACACAAGGTAGGTAGGAATAACCACAATCTTTATTATTTTACTTATATTTTGAAATTTCCAGTAACTAACTATATACAGAAATTAATTAGTTCTTTTTGAAAATGCTCCAGTTCATGTTCAAATAAAATTATCATAGTGACAGAAAAAATATAAGGAGTTTGTGAAATAAAATTTAAAAATACTCTTAAAACTTAAATGAAAAAATAGTGAATTCACAAAATACTTTATAAAACACTTCCATTGTGTGAAATAATCATTAATTTTATTTGTATGAAATAGTGATTTATTTTTTATTCATGATTAGGTATTTGAACGCAGTGTTACCTAAGATTGGTTCGCGTATTTTTTAACTGATTTTTAAAATACAGTGAATATTTTGTTTGTTCCTTCCCTTTTTAAGCTCTGAGTCAAGATTTTCTTACCTGGGTATTTTTACCTGGGCAATTTGTAGATAGGTGTGTATGTATGTGTGCATTTGTGTTTGTTAAAAATATAAATTTATTTAACAATAAACATGTTCACTAATTTGGATTCTGCATTTACATGTGAATAAAAATATTTGTAAACTTACGGAAGACCTTCTGCCACACATTTAGATTTCCTTTATAAATATATTGGGTGAATCATAGAATCCCTGAGCTAGACTAGATGATCAGTCTCGTCTTTTCATAGATGACAAAACAGGCCCCACTATAGTGAAGTCATATGAACCTTATCACATGACTGGATGATGGTGGAACCAGTACTAGAACTTCTGCCTCTTGCCTCCTCATCCGATGATCTTTCCACTGGATCCTGATGTAAACTACAAGAATGAATTTGAAACATACTTTTGAAGTACAAGAATTTTATCACTTAATGAAAAACGTCAAAGAAGACATAATTCAGACAAATAGAAATGATGATGGTGCCTCACCTCCTCTCTGTCTGACTGAGACCTTCAGTCTCCTTTGTGAGATCACCATCCTGCCCACTCTTTCCTGGGTCTTCTTTCTTGTCTCTCCACAGTCCGTCTAGGTGATATCATAAGCTCCTGTGAGTTTGTTATCTTTGTCATCAAGGCATCTAGGTGGTGCAGTAGATGGAGCCGTGGACTTGGAATTTGGAAGACCTGTGTTTGAATCCTTCCTTAGACACTGACTTAGCTGTGTGATCCTGGGCAAGTAATTTAACCCCCCTCTGCCATATAAATGCTAATTGCTCTTTGTTATTATTTTGTCTGCAGATATTCTATGTATTGAAGCCCTCATCTATCTCCTTGTAGCTGTAGCCATCTCTTAGGTTCTTATATAAGCATCTCAAACTTAGTATGTCCAAAACAAAAATCATGATCTTTTCCTCCATCCTAATTGCTCTGCTTCTAGGATACCACCATTTTTCCCAGTCAACCAGATTTGCAGTCACTCTTCACACCACTCATTAGTCACCAAGTCTTGTCCATTCTGTCTTGCATCCATCCTTTTCTTTCTATTCGTAACACAACCATCCTAGTTTAGGACCTAGTTGCCTCTCCCCTAGACTCTTGAAATAACTCAGTTCATTTCCCTGTACCCATCTCCTGCCTTCTGTAGTCTATTCTCCACACAGTTGTCAAGTTGATGCTTCTAAAACACAGATCTGACCATGTCAGTCCACCCATTCCAGAAGCTTTCCTCAGTTGCCTCTAGCATTATACACAAGCCATTCTGCTGAGTATTTAAAGCCCTTCACATTCTGACTCCAGCCTATTTTTCAAGGCTGATTCTACATTACTCCCTGTGCCCTACCTTCCAGCCAAACTATCCATCTTGGTTTTCCTCATACACAGTACTCTGCTTCCTTCAAGTCTTTGCATAAATTGTTCCCCATACCTAGAATTCTCTTTTTTCTCATCTTTGCCTTTTAGAATCCCTAGATTCCTTCAAGGATTAGCTCAAGTGCCACCTCCTACAAAAGGCCGCTTTTGATTCCTCTAGTTCTTAATCTCACCATTCTACCCCACCCCCATTTGAAATTACTTTGTATTTATTGTCTATACAAATTATATTCCAAAATATATATATTTTCTATACAAATTATATTCTATACAAATTATATTATATTCCAAATATATTCTATACAAAGTCATTTCAGTGGAGTGAGAGGAGTGCACAACTAGCAACTAGGGGATCAGGAACTGTGCTTCATATACTTGTATTCCCCTAGTTTCTTCCCTTTGTCAGTCTTCCCCCTACCCCAAGACTTGAGCTGCCCAGGTCTGGTCTGGGTAGGCTGATTCTCACCAGGAGATTCTTTTCCCTATGTTACCCCTTCCTTTTACCCAGTATCCATTTGGGCCATTAGGCAGCAGGAAGACAGCCACCTTGGCTCCCTCTCCCTTTGCTTGCCTCCCATGGACTTAAACTTAAAATATCCAGGCTGCTTGACTGTCATATCACTTCAAAAAGATGGGAGTCACCAACTCTGATCCTTTAACTGGGACCACTAGAATACTATTTGCCGTGCCAGTGCATCCTAAGGTCTTCCGGGATTTACCATCTGACCTGCCTTATCTCCTCATGACTGCACAATTATCTGGCTGATTGATATAACCTGAGGCTCCCTGGGTTTTTGCCATCTACTGAATAACTCCTGCCTTAGGACTTCTGGGTTTTTCCATCGTCTTATTGCTGAACTTTCTTTTATATATTGTTTCCCCTAACTAAAGTATAAGCTTCTAGAGGGCAGGGACTTTAAAAATTTTTCTGTTTTTATTCCTGGCACTTTAACACACTACTTAGACACACACTAAGTGCTTAATAAATTTTTATTCATTCATACATGCATTCATTCATAGGAACTATATTGTTTTTGTCTTTATATCTCCTGTTCCTGGCACATAGTAGACATTTAAATACTTGATGAATTTATTATAGCTAAGTGTAAATAGGACCCTAAGTAAATTTAATGACTTTCTAATTAGTGTTCTATTTACATTTCCCATTTGGAGTTCTTAGCTCGATGTTAGTACACTCTTTCACTTTCATTAGCATCTTCAGTACTTGGCTCCTTTTTGCCCTTTGTCTTTGACAACTTTAATATCATGTTGTTCTTTCCTTTAATACCCAGTTCCCTTAGCTCCTTAGCTTACTCAGACTTGTAACTCAAGATTCTACTATACTCCTGTCACTCATAAAGGTGGATATATTCTAGTTATTACATAAAACTTCCATTTTCAAGATGTTTCTCTGCAGTTCCCCTCTGTGGCCACAGTTTCCTGCCCTTCAACCTTTCCTACACCCTTATTCCTTGTGAAGTTATTCTTTGCTCTGATCATGATCTCTGGTCCTTAAATTTTTCCTTGTTTTCCTAATCAATCACTTATTCTGTCTTCACTGCCTTCCCTTCACAGTCATCATCCATTTCAGTGATACACTCCTCCATAATTGAATCCCTCATGATTGACGTACTCCTAACTTGCTAATTCCCAAACTTGAAAGACTTCTGTTATCTGCTTTCTCTGTTTCCTTTCCTGAGTAATAGAAAATCTCCTGGAGAAAGTCATGACACTATGCTGAGTTGGTCCACTACAGATTCATGCTACCTAATCTCATCTGGGTTCTTATTGTTGTTGACCATACTTTTATTTATCTTTTTGTCACAATCTCTAAAGTGACTCTTTCCCTCAAGACCTTATCTTTTATTACTAACAGTCTTTCTCAGAAGATAACCTCACTTCCTATTCAATTGAGAGGATAAGCTATTGGATATGAGATAATAAAATCAGGATTTTTAACTAGATAGGACCTTAAAAATCATCTAGTTCTAGTATCCCATTTTGCAGGTGGGAAACTGAAGCTGAAAAAAGGTTGAAAGACTTATTCAAGGTCATACCGATTAACCTGTGGTCTGTGAACTAGACTGGGGTCCATGACTCAAAAAAAGTTTAAGGACCTCTCATAGAAGTAATATTTAGCAGTGCTAAGATTCGAACATAGGTCCATTCATTCCAAATCATGATACCTTTAAAGTTGAAAAGGCACTCAAGTGTCTAGTCCAAACTCTACTTCACCAGGGTTCCCTTCTATCCTATGCCTTATAATGGTCAATTAAAGCTTTGCGTGAAGACCTCTCATTAGAGGGAACCCAATAACTCCTCAGATAGCCTATTCCACTTTGGGATATGTTTAAATGTTAGGAAATATTTACTCATATTAAGCCTAAGTTGGCCTTCTTGCATCAGCCTGCTGCCATTGCTCCTAATTCTGCCTTCTGGAACCAAACAGAACAAGTTTTAATCCATTTTCTGTTTTATAACTCTTCAGATACTTGAAAGCAGCTATCATGGCTTTTCAAATTTTCTGTTCCTGAGGCCAAACATTGGTAATTCCTTCATGAGCCTTGATCTTAGGGCTCTTTACTATTCTGGTTGCCTTTCTTTGAACACTTTCCAACTTATTCTTCCTATTCCAGGATGGTTCACCTTGGGCAGAGTTTAGTGGAACTATAAAAAACTCTTTTTCTAGATATACTTTCTCTCTTAATACATCATAAGATCACATTAGCATTCTTAGCAGTCATTTTACACTTTGGATTTCCCATTGAGCTTTCAGTCTACTAAAACATCCATCCAAATCTTTTTTAGATAGACTACTATCTGACCACATGTGAAGTTAATTTTTTTGCTACAAGTGTAAAAACTTTACATTTATCTCTGTTGAATTTCATTTTAGTAGTTATATACCAACACTAGCTTTTTTCCCCCTCAATTTTGATACTTTTTTGTTTTGACATGTAGCTTATGCAAATCCACTAAACAAAACCACCCCACCCCCCACACGTCCAGTATTCCCAGGAAATAGTTTAAGTAAAATCAAAAGAGTATTTGTAGTTCTAATCAGCTAGCATCTTCTTAACCAGCTATTCTTTATCTGCAGCATATCTTCACCTAGACTTTGTGCTACAGGTAAAATCCTACATGTCCAAAGCCAAATTGATCTTCCATCTAAGACTTTCTGTGTCCTAATATTTGTTTCTCAGTCACACTTGACTTTTCCATCCCCTTCACCTTTCATATGCATTTGGTTGCCATTTGCTATGGATTCTACATCTACCCTTTGTCTTTTTTTTAACATTAAAATTTATTGATGATTTTTCTTTTTATATTCTAATCATTTCCAGGTATGCCTTTCTGTGTCCTCATCTCCTCCATTCAGAATTGAACTCTCTGTTGTAATAAAGAAAAATAGTTAAACCATAGCAACCAGACCCTTACTAGCTGCATGGTACTTGGCAGGGAAGTCACTTAATCTTTCTGAGCCTCATTTTCCTCATCTTCATGAGGGGAGTTGATTTTAATGGCCTCAAAGGTGCCTTCCAGTTCTAAATCTAAGATTCTGTTATCCGACATGGTTCTGCTCCCATATACTCCTGTCTTTCTGCTGAGAGAGGATGGAAGGAGGATTAATTATTTGTTACCTAGATCTAAGATCATCTATCTTTTCTTTATACTTTGTGCTACTACCCCAGTAGAAGCCTTTACTTCTCCTCTTCTGAACTTCCATTGTTCCTGTCATTACCAAAGTAATCTTGGCGATGTCTCCCTGCTGTAGCAGATCAGATTGAATGTCTGCACCCAAAGAATAGTTGTTTAACAGTCAAAAGAATTTTCCAATTCAGTGACCCAAGAATCTGTGCTTGGCCCTGTTCTTTTTGCCGTTTTTGTCATTGATTTGGATAAAAATGTAAATATATGCTTTTCAAATGTGCAGATGACAAAACTGAGCAACGGCTGACATACCAGATGATAGGATCTGAAAAGAATGTCATGGATTACTGGGTTACACTAATAAGCTGGCATAATAAGAATAAGTGTAAAGTGTGTTGTTGTTGGGTTCAAAACAATAAGATGAGTAGAGGATGAGGGGGGAGATATGGCTAGATAGCAGTTTGTCTTAGAAAAGATCTTGGTGGTTTTGTGGATTAAAAGCTTGATATGGCAGCTAAAAAAAATGCTAATGTGATTTTCGACTAAATTGAGAGAACTCAAGCTTCTAAGACTAGGACATCCTCTAGCACTGCTGTGTTCTGCTTTGTTCCAGTCTCATCTGTACCATTGTGATATAAGTTGTGCACACCACATTTTAGGAAAGACATTGATAAGATTTAGAACGTCCAGGAAAGGGCAGCAAGGATATTGAATTCTTTTGAGTTCGTTTCATTGACAGTTGACAGAAAGATCTCAGAATCTTTTTCCTAGAGAAGAGAGGTTTTAGAGGTTCTTGATAGCTGTATTCAAATATTTGAAGAACTGTCCTGTGGTGAAGGGATATGACTTGTTTTATTTGAACCCAGAGAAGAATCAGAAGTGAGCAGTGGTTATTAAATGCAGAGGCAAATGATTAAAGTGTGATACAAGGAAAAACTGTCTATTAAAAAAGTATAGCTGATCCCAGAGTGGAAGGGGCTAACTCAGGAGGCGGTAGGTTCCCTCTCCCTGAGTCAAGGGCTTGATGACTAACCCCTTATTGGTTATGTTGTACCCAGAGGGGATTCTTGTTAAGATAAGGGTTTTTCTGAATGGCCTTCAGAGTCCTTTTCACTTTTATGATTTTCTGAGAACCACTAGGAATTTTATGATAAAGGGAAGGGAGGCTAATATAATATGACTTGTTCTTACAAAACCTATACCTGTTGCTGTTATTCACTGCTTTCCTTATCTGAGTGTTAACAAACTAAGTCAAGTGGATCACAGCCCTATACAAGTATATATAATGGAGAGAGGATGTACCATAAAAAAAGAACTTTTTCATACTGATCTTCATGTCAGGAACAGGGACTGATCTTGTGATTTCATTGATCTGAAGCTCCTTGGTGAGTTAACTTCTTCCACCAATTCAAGTTGGCACCTTGTCTGCAACTTAGAGTCTTGGTGAATTTCGTGGAGAGGTTAAAATGACTTGCCCAGGGTCACACAACCAGTGTGTGTCAGAAGTAGTTCTTGAACCCAGTTTTTCTTGGCTTTGAAGCTGGCACCCTATCCCGTATTAGAGAATACCAGAAACTGAATTTTGTTCTCTGTTATTACGTTAGATATCATCAATTTTCAAAAATAGAAGAATACAATTTTAGTTTTCAAAAGGCAAAGATTTGATCTATTACATCTTTATTTTTATAGTTGTGAGGAAGTAAGAATAAGTGGTTTGCTCAAGGTCACAACAGTTAATTAGTGCAGGAACCAAGACTTGGGTGACTCACTCCTAGGGTTGTGTTTTTGATATTTTAAAAGTGCTTTGAAGTGTTTTTGAATTGAATATTGTAGAAAATATTTCTTGTGTGATAATTCACAAAGTTTTATTGACTGCAATAACTTTAGCTTTGATAAGTTCTGAAATATATTTTATCTGGCAAATGGAGGTGGTATTCAGATCCAAAGCAGAAAGTGGTGTTAAAGTACTTGGCCCATTTAGTTACAGTTACTTTTTGACAATAATATTTTACATTTATTTAAGTGAATGTTCTTGTGTTTCTTTTGTTAGCTGTTGTATTTGTTATTGATAGTAGTCACAGAGACAGAATAAGTGAAGCACACAGTGAACTCGCAAAGTTGTTAACGGAAAAAGAACTGAGAGATGCTTTGCTGCTGATATTTGCAAATAAACAGGTATGGAGACGGCTAGCTGTGGAAACTTTTTTTCTTTCTGTCTTTTAACATTTTCCTTTGACTTTAGGGATTCAGTGCCTTAAGGTAGTTGGGAAGAGTTAAAAAGAATTTTTTTCAATAAACGAAATTAAGAACCGCTTCCTCCACTAAAATCTTTCTCTGGTGTTCATGGTGGCTTTCATGTAACTCTGGATGTTCAAAGGCCTGGTAACCACAGTGCAAACTTGATAGGATAGGCTCTGCCAGACATTCAAAGGGCCTTGAGAAAGAAAACTTTGTGTCTGTCATCCTCAGGAAGCAGATTAGTTTACCAATGAGCAGGTTCGTTAATATAGAATACATATTTTTCATCCATAGCAACGCATGAAAATCATGTATGTGACAGCATTGGAAGGGTTCCTATCCTCTATGAAACTGTGTCCTTAAATTATTAAAATTGGAACTCAGGGAGACAAAACATTTAATAATACAGCAACTTCTTATTTTAAAGTTTAATGCTATTGTTGATTTCCATTACAAGTTCAATTATTTTTAAATCTATTAGTTAAATTTTCTTCACAATTTGTAAATCATAATTATATCACCTAATTTCTTGGTATATAAGACTTTAAGAACTCAAATCTTAACTGCTTTATGATATTTCAACAAGCTCATTTAAATATTTTTTGACTTATTCTTGGCAAAAAACTTAATTTCTCCTGCTTTGTAATGCAGTTGATTGTAATAAATCATGGCCATGGTGAATCTGTTTGTAGTTTTAGTTTTTATGAAATTTGGATTTAGAATTTGGAATAAGCTTTGACTAAAACAAAAATAATTAGAAAATATGAATGTATCTAACATCAGAACATTTATAAATCTCTTACAGGATGTTGCAGGAGCACTTTCAGTAGAAGAAATAACAGAACTTCTTAGTCTACATAAACTCTGCTGTGGTCGAAGCTGGTATATTCAGGGCTGTGATGCACGGAGCGGGATGGGGCTGTATGAAGGACTGGATTGGCTTTCAAGGCAACTTGTGGCTGCGGGTGTACTGGATGTGGCTTAAAATCATATACAGCCATTATTTAAAGTTTGTGGTTAACTGTTATTTGCACATGACAGATTGTAAGAAGTTCTGCATCTCGAAGATGGCAGTTAATCTAGGATTGTGTTTACAGAACAAAATGTTTGTATCTTCCATTGGGAATTCAGTTCCTTTTTATACTCTTGAGAGTAAACTGAAATGTTTTCCCTAGTAGATTGAGTTGGTTATAAGGGTACCTTGAATTCACATCTTTTTAGGTGAATTTGAGTTTTCAGTGCATTCGCTATTAGTATATTGGAACAAAAAGGAGGAAGGCTAAATTACACATTAGATTACTGTTCTCTTTTTACGTTGAACATTAGTCATACAATTAGGAAAGTACAGCTATTCTTCTAAAATTGCCTTTTCATTTAATTTTCATACTGTCTTACTCCTGAAAAGAGGAGTGACTTAATGAGACCAAAAGCAAACAGTACCTTCCACTGAAATAAGACTCTTCAACCTGACTTTTTTATGTTCAGTGAAACAAAAAACCTTTAACTCTAAAAATTAAACTCTAAAGTTATAAAAATGTTTTATACTTATTTCTTTATTAAAAACCTAAGCTAAAGTATAATACTTTATATTATAATACAGTGAGACTTAATAAAACTTTATCTGCGTAGTCTGTAGACCAGGACTACTTGTTTGGGTTATAGTATGTATGTATAATAAGCTGTGAAGGTCAGATGATTTTCAGTTCATCTGTGATTATGAAAGATCCATTGTCAGGCCTGAACCTAGGTAAGCTGTTTGCTTACCTAGGACAGAGCCCCATGTTGGTGGTCCTTTCTGTTTTCAATATCCCTTAAGCCATTAGTGGTTTCATGAAAAACTAACTTGCACCTTTGATGTAGCACTTGTCAGTGTAAGCTGCTTTTTGTCATGACTTTTTAAAAATGTAGCAAACTTACTGAAACTAAAGATGGAACCAGAGTGGGCTTTGATGAAAAGATATTTAGGAATTCACTTAGGAAAAAGTCTTTTACAGCATGGGAAATTGTTCAAATCACAAAATATGTATGTTTAAGTGAATATTTTCTCAGTATGAGTACATTTCTCAGCATTGTATAATAAGGGCAACTCTCTTGTTTATTTAACAATAAAGGGCTTGAAAATTTAACATGTGGGGGATGTAGCATGTAGAAAATGCAAAGAAAAAAGATACAAAGTTAAAATGTTTACATCTAATTTGATCATGCATTGTTTTGAGTAAAAGTTAAAAAATTTGTGGATTTTTTTCCTCCAGTTTTTCATATTTTAAGGTTATCTTATGCAAGCATGATTCATTATGTAAAAAATGTATGTGGATTGATATGTCATTGCATCAGTTATTTTGCCTATTCATAGCCCTGCCTGGTTTTTTTTTAGGATGAAGTTTTATTTTTATTCCATCTAATATGTTAAGTGCAATTTCCATGAATAGGAATTGCAAGTGAATGACTTAAGGTCGAAATGGTGACCTTTAAGTAGCAATTTGTTTTTTTCCTTCATTGATGTAAAATATATTTTTATTTGCATAAAAATAGGAAAGTTTTTATTATTTAAAGAAACAAAACACTTAGAGGTTTTTAAGAGCTTCTGGAAATGTGTAAATAATATTTAACCGTATTTCATCTTTTACTTTGTCAGCCCAAAATAAATGCTCTGCTATAAGTGTAGTATGTGTGCATAAAAGTATTATTATAAAATGTAAATTATTTAATATTTGACTGATTCCAATAACTGTGAAAATACTGCATTTGCCTATGAGCTTTTAAACTGTTTTCTGTATTATTCTATTCACTTTCTTTGTATAAGTTATTATTCTCTATGAACTGCTTTACTTGTATATTATATTTGTTTGACTAACTTTAACTTAGTAATTCACAGTCCTAGCATCTTACTGACTATAGTCTCTGGTATGGAGTGTGGTTTTCTTATGCTTAAAATAGAATCGAGTCTACATTTTGGGAGTGTTGGGGTTTGGGGGTTTGTATTTTAAAGATATATTTTAAACTTAATTTTATCATAATTACTGGTAATCTTTTGGAAAATATAGTCTAGTTATTTTTCACTGCCTAAAAAAATTGCACTACTAAATATTTTGGTTTTTAAAATATCACTCCTATGTTGTATATTGTAGTTTGGAAAGCAAGGTAAGTTTAAGTATCAGAGAGAAAAGTTGAAATTTTGTGTTTAGTATTGGTTAGAGATTGAGATCATAGATTCAGAAAATTCCCATGTCTAAAAATCATTTACTCCAAATCTCATATTTTACAGATGAAACTAAAACCCAGGAAAGTTACATTACTTGCTGAAGATTATGTTTATGATGTAAGACACACATCTCCACCCTTGTAGCCACACCAACCCTTCCTGGCCCTCACCTTTCCTTCCTTTCTATTTTATCATAGTATCATAGATTTGACAGCTGGAAGGATGTGCAGAGAATACCTTATCCAATCCCCTTGTTTTCCAGATGAGTAAATTGAAATCCAGAGGGGTTCAGTGACTTGCTTCAGATCACCCAGGCAATAATTTGCAGAGCTGGGACTCTGACACCAGGTCCTCTGAACCCAAGCACAATACTCTTTACAGGACAATACTGCCTTTCATCAATACAGTTAAACTTTTTAATGTCTATTCAGTTTGAAAGCAATTAATTTCCACTTATTTCCTGAAACAGCATCATTGAATAGTTGTGTCCTGTGAAATTTTTTCAAAAGCAGGCAGCTCCCAACATTTGATATTGTGGTGTGGTGGAAAATGAAATTTCACAGGTGCCCTTTTATCCAGACTTCAAATTCCTAAAAATGATATTTCATCAAGCACAAGAAAGCCTTGAATATGATTGATTTTCTTCTGCTGTGGCTATTATTTTACATATTTCCCACTGAGTTTTCTTAAAATAAAACATTTTAGTACAAGCACATAAGTTACTTTGCAATTTTCAAGTCAATTTAATGTAATTGTTTATTAAAAAAAAGAGACCAGGTGAGTTGCTGGTCTGCATATACAAGCCTAGAGTCAGAAGACTTGGGTTTTAGTCCTGGGCTTGCCAATAATTAGCTATGTATGGTTAAGCAAAGCATGTGACCTCTCTGGGCCTTGAGACCCCTCATACATAAAATATGGGGTTTCACTAGAGGATTTCTGTGTTGCCTTACAGCTCTGACAGTCTATGATTCTAAGTGATCTTATGCTCCTTTATATGATTAATATATAAATATACATATATAATCTTTGTATATCTCATGATCTTTCATATATATGAAGCATTGCTGTCAAGTAGACTAGGAGTAAAGAGACCTTTTCTTTCAAATTCATCATAGTGGGAAAATTAATTATATTTGAAATCTTCACTGTGAAAGGCCCAATAGATATAGGGGTAGTCTCAGAGGCATGGAAGATCTGGGTTCAGGGCTTGCCTGTGAAACATAACGAGCTGTGTTACCATGCCCTGGTCATTTTCTGAGTAGTGACTTGGGACACTAAGAGGGTAACACGGGATACAGGTAAGTCACTGATCTTTCTATGCTCCCCCCATGTAGATGAAATCACAGGTCCAACCTCACCCTCTGTCCCCTGAAACATCACATGTGTATTCAACAATGTAGGTTTTTACAAGTTTAAGGACTTTTGTTCCTCAAGAACAGTGGTGTCAAACTGCTGGCCACATATTGACTTAGAAAACCATGAAGTAACATTATGTTGCACTGTATTTTCTTTTACTGTTAAACATTGCCCAATTACATTTTCATCTGGTTCAGGCAGTACTTGGGGGAGTTTGCAGGGCATTTGCCACCTCTGCTGTACAAGACCAATTTGAATACAGGGTAGTTCTATGTACTTTTAATACCATCAAGCTGAGTTGTTAATGTGTACAAATACACATCTGCAGTAGACTTTAGTGTGTTTTTATGAAGCATTAAAAGATAGAAAAAAAATGGATTTTGTTTTTAATGCTGTCATTAAAAACAATATTACACATTAGCTTTTTAATATATTTGATTATAACCATATTTTAAATCATCCTTACTAATACTTGTCTTTGTGTGTATTTTACTGTATTAGTGACCAGTACACCTTGTGGTCCGGTGGAAAAGCCCTAAATTTAGATTTGTTTGAACTTTGTTCAAATTCCAGCTCTATCAGTCATACTGTGACCATGGGCAAGTCATTTAATCTCTTGAGGCCCGTTTTTTCACCTCTCACATAAAGGGGTTGGACTAGACAGCCCCCAGAGTCCCTTCCAGTTAGTTCTAGAGCACCAATCCTAAGTTACATAGCCGATGTTTTTTATTGGAATGTATTCTGAAACTAATAATAAACACTACATTACAGATAACAGCAGTGTAAAACAGGGTTCTCATAATATAGAAATTGAAATTCAGCCCACACTTGACTTTTATTTACACATAAGAACTTAGCAGAATCGATGCTCAGCCTTAGAATCTGTAAAATGTGGCTGATAGTACAATGCATTGAGCTGTTTTTTATCAGTAATCAAGTGGAAGCCATTTCTGCATCTTTCAATTTTTGTTTTTTAACTCAATAGTTGAGTTTAAGAAATAGGGATGTGCTACCAGAACAATTTAAAATCCTGGCCACAGAGATTCAGTTGGCCTTAATTTAAGTGTAGTTGGCTAGGATGTATTTAAGATCATTGTCATAGAAAATTTACTATGTTTCCTTCATGGCTTAGCCAGTTGAGTAACATAGCTCACAACTACGTAGAAATGTATTGGTTTGTGTTGTAGTTTGTTTAAAATTAGTAGTATTAGGGGCAGCTAGGTGGCGCAGTGGATAGAGCACTGGCCCTGAAGTCAGGAGGACCTGAGTTCAAATCCAGCCTCAGACCAAACACTTGACACTTACTAGCTGTGTGACCCTGGGCAAGTCACTTAACCCCAATTGCCCCCCCCCGCCAAAAAAATTATTAGTATTAAAGGTGAATATTGATATAAGTGCTTTATTATGTCACAAAAAAATTAAAATGAATGACTCCTGGATGAAATCAGTAAGTGCTTGCCACTTTGCAATAAGACAGAATTCTGTGAGGAATACAGGTAAAACAAACTGAAGGAAAAGCACAAGGGGCTGTCAATAAACCAGTCTTTAATCTGTTCAAAATTCTGGTTTAAAACATTCTCTTCTGATAAAAGATCCAAATTCTTTTAGAAAATAATTATGCACTGAAAAGCAGTTAGTGAGCTTAAGTTATGTGGGCTTTGCTAAGCAAAATACTAATGTATGTAAAATGAAGGATAAGTTGGATGTGATAATGATAATAATAGAAGGAAATGACATACGCAGACTTGCTTTCTCTTGCACCTATTCTGTAGAAGGACAAAAGTGAAATAGAGGAGACAAGGATGTTCTCCATGCTTTCAAAAGCAAGAAGGTAAAAGGACTAAAAGTTTTTCTTTGAAGCCATAAAGAAAGAAAATAAGAAAAGACTGGGAAGTTTTAATGAGAAAGATGCCAGATTGGATCATTTTTGCTAATTATTAGCATGATATTTATGCTCATGCTTATCTCTTTGAATAGTTGTATTTTTTATGAAGTGAAAAATTCAGTTAATCTGTATCACAGGCAAAACAAGGTGTTATTTTGGCAGTTTATTAACTGCCTTCTGGTAGTCATACTTCAAAATTCTACATCGGGTTAATCATAAAGCTTAAGAGCTAGTAGCCCTTAAGGGGTCAGGTAACCCAAACACCCCGTTTTACCTATGAGGAAATTGAAGCCCAATCAACGTCTGTGGGGTCACAGCAGTAAAAGATGACAGGTGTGATCTGGACCCAACTGTGTAACTTTATAGCTAGTGTTTTTTTCTACTGTATCACAGTAGTCTAAGGAATGAATAGGATTATAGGATTTGGAAGGGGACTTGGAGATCGTTTGTTACAGTATGTCATTGGCAGGGCAGAGGTGTGAGGTTACACATGGACAAATTGAAGACTAGTGGTTAAATGACTTGACTGTGGTACAGGCAGGGTGGCCACAGGCCTCATTGCTGGAATACATGTAGTACCTCTCAATACAAATACTTAGGAAGTACTTAACTATATTTTAAGAACTTGTGCTAGATGTGTGAATCTGACATGTATAAACCCAAGAGTTAAATGTAGGTAAAGGGGAGCCCCAAAGTATTAAAGGAAAGCATGAAGAGAGAAAGCTCAGGGAATTAGGGAATGTTCATTGTCGGGGGAGTTCCTGAGTTTGGCCTTAAAGGAAATTAAGGATTTCTGCAGTAAAGGGGTATATTCCAGGGATGGAGAACAGCCTTCATGAACTCAGAGAGAAGAAGCAGGATAAGAAAAGGAACTACTAGTCGTCCAGTTTAGCTGCTGGATTGGTAAATTGGAACCAGATGTTCAAAGGCCTTAAATGCCAAGTATGGGAGGTTCCACTTTCTAGTCGATAAATAAGTAGCCACTGAAAGTTTCTGGAGCAGAACACTGTGCTTAGACCTGAGCACTACAAAGGAAACATAGCTTTTGGGATGGTCAATGAAGTTGTTTTGCTTAACTATGCACAGGCATCTGTGAAGGATAGACTGGAAGAGGGGAGAGAGACCAGCACAGGGAAACCAGTAATGAGACTGTTCCACAGTAATAGCTGCACAGGTAGGAGATGATGATTTCACAAACTTGGGTGGTGGCAGTACAGTAGAGAGGAGGCGGTAGGAAAGATAGTCAAGGTACAGTTGACAGAATTGGAACCAAAGGGATTAAGGGATGAATTGAACAGATTTTAAGGTTATTTGTGGAATGACACTCATTTGAATGTATAATTCTGGTAGTTCTTTAAGTTTTGTTTCAAATCCGTGCTTTATATTATGACTTATACTGTGTTATTACCTTTGATAATAAAGTTATCAAGCAATAAATCAAATTTTAAAAATCTACATAAAGCTTAACGTAAACACAGCTCGTTACAATATTGAGTTGACTTTAATATAGGTCTCTGGACCTATCAAAATGGTGTTTTAATAATACCGACCCCCAAATAACAAATGTGAAATGCTAGTCTATGTGGCTTTGCCAAGAGATTTTCAAACTCAAGTACATTTCTTAAAAGATAATAGTACTTTAGAAATAATTTGGTAGGAATAGAAAAAAGTGAACCAGGTTATTTTACAAAATTTATCTTACAGAATAAAAAAAAATCTCTTGAAACTTAGATTTGTCAAAACAAAATTTATTGGTGCCTTATATTGGTGCCATCATTTAAAGATACACACCCTAAATTGAACTAAATTGAACTCTTCCTCTCTATCAGAAATGGTGGATACAGTGAATATGCCCAACGGTGTGTACATTACATTGTCTTAATATAATCTCACCTTTGTTTCAAGAGAAGGGAAATGGGCTTCATTATTTGTTTTAAGGGACTAGTACGATTAGAGTCAGTTGGTACACATTAAGTATCTACTATGTGACAGTGTGCTAAAAGCTGGGGAAATAAAAAGGCAAAAGACAAGTCTGCCCTCAAGGAGCTCACAATCTAATGGGGGAGACAGCAAGGAAACATGTGTGAACAGGCTACATGCAGAATAGGAAATAATTATCAGAAGGAAGGTACTAGAATTAAGAGGGGTTGGGGAAGACTTCGGTTGATTTGGGACTTAAAGCCAGGAAGGTCAGCAGTGGGAACACAGGAGGGAGGACATTCCAGGTATGGGCAACAGGCAGAGAAAATGCCTGAAGCTGAAAGTTTGGAGTGTCTTGTTTGTGGATCAGCAAGGCCAGTGTCACTTGACTGAAAAGTGGGTGGTGGGGAATAAGGTATAAGAAGACTGGAAAGGTAGGAGGGGTCTAAGTTATGAAGGGCTTTGAGTGCCAAAGAGCTTTTTGTATTTTGATTCTGAAAGCAGTAGGGAGTCACTGGACTTCATTGAGTAGGGTGGTGAGGCGACATGGTCACACCTTTGCTTTAGGAAAATCGCTGGGCTGGAGGATGGATGGATGGAGGAGGGGGAGACACCTGAAGCAGGCTGACCCACCAGCAGACTTGCAATAGTCCAGGCATGAGGTGATGAGGGCCTGTACCAGGATGGTGTCAGAATCAGAGAAGAGAAGGTGCAGAGGTGAAATCAACAGGCCTTGGCCACAGATCAAATACAGGCCCAGGGTGAGAGTGATGCGACAAGGATGACACCTAGGTTGTGAGCCTGAAGAGAATGGTGTTGCCTTCATCAGTATTAGGAAACTTAGCAGGGGGTAGCATTGAGGAGGAAAGATCCTGAGTTCTGTTTTGGACATAAGATACCTGGGGGACATCCATTTCGAAATGTCTGAAAAGCAGTTGGAGATGAGAGACTGGGGGTCAGCAGAGAGGTTAGGGACAGATAGATAGGTAGATTTGAGGATCATCACCAAGTTGTTCAGGCATTTCAGTTGTATCTGACTCTTCACGATCCCATTTGGGGTTTTCTTGGCAAAGATACTGGAATGGTTTACCACTTGCTTCTCCAGCTCATTTTACAGATGAGGGTTGTGACTTTTGCAAGGTCACACAGCTAGTGCCCGAGGTCAGATTTGAACTGAAAAAGATGAGACTACTCCAGAACTGTATCCACTGTGTCACCTACCTGCCCTCATTAGCATACACGGTAATTAGATCTGTGGGAGATGAGATCCTCAAGTGAAGTAGTATAGTGGGAGAAGAGAAGGCTCAGAACAGAATGCTGTGAGACATCCTCCGAGGGTATGATCTGGATAAGGATCCAACAAGAGACTGAGAAAGGGGCAGGATCTGATGAGCAAGGAAATTCCCAGGAGAATGGTGTCCCAAAAACCCAGAGGAGAGAGTGATCAGCACTGTCAAAGCCTGCAGAGGAATCAAGGGAAGGGAAGATTGTGAAAAGGTCATTGAGTTTGGCAAGTAAGAGATCATTAATAACTTTGGTGAGGGCAATTTCAAGGAAATAATGAGGTTGGAAGCTGAATTTTAAGGGGGTAGGAGGGTGAGAAGAGAGAAAGTGAAGGCACTTAATTGTAGATGCAAATTTAGCCACAAAGAGCAGAAGAAATATAGGAAGATAGTAGGGATGGAAGGATCAAGTGAAAGTTTTTTGAGGATGGAGGAAGACATGGGCATGGTTATAGGCAGTTGAGACAGAGGGAGAGACTGAAGATAAATCAGAGTCAGGATGAGAGGAGGCAGTCTGCTGGAGGAGACTAGATAAAATCCAGCTTCCTTTTTTAGCGCTCTTATGGTCATATATATTTTTCTCCTGGTTCTACTTAAGTCTCTTTTGGGGAGAAACTTTTATTCATTTTTTTAAATTATCAAATATTAGTTTTTTCTCCCTTCTACCTCTTCAGCTACCCTCAATTAAAAAAAAATAAAAGAGAAAAATCTTTTTAAGCAAATAGGCATAGTCAAGTAAACAAATTCCTGCACTGGCCAAGTCCAAAAACATACATCTCATTCTCCATCTTGATCCCATCGTTTCTCTCTGGAGGTGTTTCTTTATCTCTGGAGTACATTTCATCAAAGTTCCTCTGCAGTCATGATTAGTCATTTATTTGTATTGATCAGAATTCTTCTGTCTTTCTACATTGTCTCTGCAATGTTGTTATTGTATAAATCATTTTCCTAATGCTGCTTACTTCAAATCTTCACCAGTTTGTACAAGTCTTCCTAGTTTTCTCTGAGAAATTGTCATGTTGTAGATTTACATTCCCCTTTGTTTCTTTAATCATTCTTGGCCTATTTAATAAACTAATTTTTCAAACTATTCCCTTTTTTCCCCTTTCTCAGATACTCTAGTTTTCCCTTGGTACAAAATATTAGGTGACATTTGTATAGGACTTTAGTGTTCACTAGACACTTAATGTATGTTCTAATTTGGTCCCAAGGGCAATTTAGTAAGTTTCTAATGATAATCATTATCCCTATTTTTAGACAAGGAGGCTTACATCAGAAAATCTGTGATTTGTTTATGGTTGCTGAGCTGGAATGTGGAATTCAACTTATAAAAAAAGTATTACCAACAGGGGAGGTGGCACATACAGGTTTTAGCTGCAAACCAGATAGAAAAGCTCAGTGGTCCTTAGGATGCAGCGGCAATGCAGATGGTAATGCATGTCCATTTCTGATGTTGAACCATTTGATGGTGTCAAGAGATTTTTTTCCCTTCATCTTCAGTTGGTGGAGCTGCTAGGGACCACCAGATACCTAAGGGCAGATTCCAGGTTTCATCTCCACAAAGATGACTGGTGGTACGGCTGGGAAGGGAAACACTGCTATTGCCTCCTGGCTTCTTGGGCAATTGTGGTATGCTTGATGATAATAATCAAGACGTATATGTACCCCAGAGACTACATGTAACTGTAGACCTGTGGCTCTCATGCTCTTTAAACAAATGTTGTTGGTGTTGGCCCAGTAGCACTGGTCAGAGAATGTTCCAGAGACCTGAAGATGTAAGTATATAATTTATGCTCTTTTTAATAAAGGAACTTCCTTTTTTTTTTTTTTTTAACTTTTGTGGCCTTTTGATATTGACTTCCCTGACAAACGAGTGCCTTGCTTTCATTTTGCCAAGGTCCTTATGCCATAACCAAATTCACTCATAAAGCCCATATGTTAAGTTTAAAGGGAGACACAGATCAGCAGCTCTAGTGTAAGACTTGAAAATGCACTACCGTGTATGCTGTAGGAAGGGAGGGAAACCTTGTTTTTTAATAAGCAAAGAGTAATGAGTGACTAGTACTAATTAGTACCCTTCAATATCATTTAAAGACACGGCACATAAAAACTTTTTTTTAAAAGTTTATCGGCCCATTTCAGCTTCTTAGTAGCATATTATTTTAATATTATTTACAAGAAAAAAACTACACAAACAGCTACAGTTTTATATAGAGACCATACAAAGGAAGGCCCAGTATCTTAAATCATTTTTACTAAAATACAAAAATATACTTTTGGACACTTAAGATACATGATTAGTTTGGGAGGTTATTCAGTCTTGGAGCTTTAAATTTTTTTTAATCTTTCACTGACTTTAATGTACATCTATTCTCAAAATGGACGTGAAAATCTGCTTTTACTTGACAGTAATATTAATGATGCTGATATCTTCATAAGGTTTATCTGTTTTTGGATTGACTTTGACATTGGAAATTCTCTGGACAACTTCCATTCCTTTTGTTACTCGTCCAAATACTGTGTGCTTGTTGTCAAGCCAAGGCTGTATCAGAAGAAAAATGAGGAAAAAAGGAACATACATGCATTCTTAAATTTGGTAATCTAGATTTCCACATATATAACGTTAGGCATTTCAATAAGCAGATTTTACATTTGGTAAAGATACTTTAAATTCATTTCTCATTACCACAGGTCTCATCAAATAGAAAGTGTTCACTTGTTTAAGAGAAACACAGATGACTCCCATTTTTAAAATGGTAATCTAAGATCTGAAAAAGCCAATGCAAAGTTCTTAGTTTAAGGACTACAGTGGTAGTTAGGAGATTTCAAAATATCTTTTGAGAGTTTTATGCTGCTAGTATATAGTATAAATAGTCTTGAAAATACAAATCTATATAAAACCTGTATATGGCAGCTTCTATCGTATCTTTAGAAAACAAGAACACTTAATTTGTACCTTAGGTTACAAGCTTTCAAAAAAAATGAAGTATTACAATGTAGTTGTCAGATTATCACCTTTGATAAACCTAACTCCTGCCTCCTTTTAAAGATACAGAAATTGGAACAATAACAGCAAGTTACCTGGCAGACCCCAGAGGTACCTGGATGGCACTAGAAGTCCTCTGTTATAGCCAAACTGTAAATGCTCCATTTAACACACCAATCTCCAATTCCATCATAGGCCAGAATAAGTTTTTAATACTTTAAGCGACTAATTCTAAAAAGTCATCTAAAAATTGGTCACTTGAAATTTTATTATAGCTGGTAGGATTTTTTCATTTCACTTAATATTTTGTTGTCTTTACCAGTTTATCTATTCATTTAGAGCATATGCCATCAAATCTTAATTTACAACAAAAACATGTATATACACATACATGACATTTAATGCCACTGCACTTACTGTTGGCACTACTGTTACGAAGAATTGGGATCCATTAGTATTGGCACCTGCATTAGCCATACTGAGTGTATATGGTCTATCATGTCTTAATGTTGAATGAAATTCATCTTCAAATTCTCCTCCCCATATGCTTTCACCTCCCATACCTGTACCTGTTGGATCACCAGTCTGAATCATAAAACCCTAGATTAGAAAAACAGATAAGCATGAGCACACAGTAGAATTAACTTCATGGTGGTTTTTTTCCCCCTAAGGCAATACCTGTCAGACCTAAGTGATTTCTTAACCTACTTTTTAAAATTAAGTCACTTGAAAGACTAATAAAGAAGTTAAATAATGTCTCAGTTTATGAGTGGTATTCCCTTTTTCACCAATTCAATTCAGTAGCCATTTATTAAACCTATACCTATATTTATGTAAAATTTTAAAATTTACAAAGTGCTTTCACATATTTTATCTCAATCCTAACAACCCCTCTATAAGTTAGTGGTATAAGTGTCACCTCCATTTTACAGATAATGAAACTTGGGCTCAGAAAGGCCATGGTGTCAAAGCCAAGATCTGATTCAAGGTCTTCACTCTGCAAAGTCCCTTGTTCCCTTGTCCTTTCTACCACATTGCTGCCTTTGCACAAACTACTGTACTTGGTGTCCAAACTATATAACACTTTTAAGGGTTGTTAATTTCAGGCAAAAATGAAAACTTCCTCGTAACCTCCTCAGGAACTAGAAATCACAATTTTGCACTTTATCAGAAATGTATGATAGCGTAACATCTTGTGTCTCCTTAGAAATCTGAAAAATTTTCCCTTCCCAACAAACACTGAAACCAATCAGAATTAACAATGTTATAAAACACATCAACTGGGAAGGCAGCAATATGGCATAGGTGAAAAATACTGGACTTTATAAATCAGAGTCTGGGTTCAAATCTTGACTCAATTAGCTACTGCTTTCTGTAACCTTGAGTAAAACTCTCAGCTTCAAGGAGGGAGTTGGACTAGATCTTTGAAGTCCTTTCTGGCTCCAAGTCCTACGATTAATCTATAAATTCATGTTCCTTGACAAGCTCCAAAGAAGTATACAGAGGAGAAATGAAAGTCTTTTGCTGAAAAATACCTGGATGTTAGAGATTTTATTTATGCTTTATATGAAGTGAAAAAATTCTGAAAGTCTTAGAAGTTTCCACATTTTCTACTCAGCAGAAATAGGCCTTCATCACAGGTTAACTGATGTAGATTTTGAAGGCACTTAAGCAGTCTGCATTTAGTAGTTTCTTATTTTATAGATAAGGAGCTGAAGAACCCAGAGGAATCAATGACTTATTGAAAGTAAATAAAGCTGGAGTTCTAAGTTCAGTCATCTGATGCCAAACCAGCGTTCTTTCCAGTGAGCTACAGTCTGAATGGAGTGAATGAGGTTAAGAAGCTGAATGGGGGTAAGGGAAAGAATGGACTACATGTGATGGCAGATGAGGTTTCATCTCTCTCCTGTGGTCCCCTGTCCCTCGAACTCTCATTTCAACATGACCCTTTCTGTTTGTTTCTGACCTTGCCTTTACCAGCCTACTCCCCCACCAGCCTCAAATGCTGTCCTCAAACAATCTAACTCCGTACTTCAATGTTTCTCTACCATTGCACACCACACTAAAGTAAATATTCCGTGGTATTCTCCCAGCTCTTTGGCAAACAGCATATCCTGGATCAATCAGCACATGAATCTCCACCTGTTGTTGTCCAATTCTAATCTAGCTGATTCACAGTTTTATGTGTTGTTTGCTCAACTCCAACAGAAGTTCCTCAAAAGCAGCAGTCATTCCTTTTACCTCAAATCTTCCAAGAAAGAAGTTTGTATTTTACCTTGATAATACGGTGAAATGTATGCCCATTGTAATAACCATTTCTGCTGTGAACACAGAAGTTTTCAACTGTTTTTGGACATCTGAAAAGATATAAACAAAATGTAAGTAATTCTAAAATAATGCAAAAAATTCTTCCTAAATAAATTTGAATTCATTGATGTTTAAACAAAATCTGTGAATCATATTTTTTTTTCTGTTCCTAAATGATTTCAAAAGCAGCTCAGGCCTGGAGAGTATAAAGTAAAATATTTCCTCACTCTTTTATCCTGTTAGGTTAGGCTTTATGCTTGTTCAAGAGCTGCTTCCTATACTGACAAAATACTAAAACATTTCCAGAAATGCAGTTTCATAACATTCATTAGATTCTAATGGCATGTTGAGAAGAAGTCTTAAAAAAATGAGGCCAGAAAATGAGAAGGGGCCAGAATAATCCTTTTAAAAATAGCCCAACCACACTATCTTTTATATAGTCACAGTATTCTAATTTCACAGTGGTGGTGTTTCTATTAGATAGGTTGCAATCAAAATCAACTTCTGACACTTTTAAAAAATAAAAACAACCACAAACAACATATTCAATTAATTCTATAAATGATATATACCTGCATACTGGGTAACAAGTAAAGCTTTCTAAAGTATATGTTAATTGATTTTACAGCACAATATAGAAGCATCTAATTATTTAATATACTATATCTTATTTTGCAGTTCTTCCCTTATTTTTACAATAAGGTATGAGAGGTGAAGGAAATTTTTCATGTGGGTTGTGGATTTCAGCTTTGTGGAGACTGATATGTTCATATGAAAAAAAGATTTTTTGGCAAGACTTGGTCACTTGATAGCTTCTGAGAAACTGATCCAGGGCTGATTTTTACTGACCTCTTTTTCTCATGCATGCTTGAGCAAGATGTGCTTTTTCTGCTTTCTTGACCTGCTATCTCTTCAGCAGTCACAGCTTCAATTTGTAACCCAGTGTGTAAAGTGTAACTAAAACGCATGAAATGTTCTTTATTTACACTTTATTTTTCATCCTTTGATCTCCTGCCAACTTCCTGTTTCAAAATTTAAAAATTCCTGAGGTCATGACCCTGAAGCCACCTGAGGCTGGAGGATTTTCACCTCTTTTGGGTCAATGGATCCCTCTGAATGTCTGGTGTAGCCTATGGTACCCCTGCTAAAAAGAGTGTTTCTAAATGCATAAAAGAAAATACATGGGATTATAAAGGAAATCAGTCATATTGAAACACAAATGCAAAAATCCCAGGTTAAGAACCTTGACCTTCCCTCACCTCATTCAATGAGCTGCCTAATCCTACTGAACATATCTTCTACATTAGTTCTTGTATCTTCCCCCTTGTCTCTATACATAGGGCCACCACCCTAGGTCAGGCCTTTATGGATTGTGCCTCAACTATTAACAGGCCCCCTAACTGACCACTTTTCATCTTACAGTTATGCTCTAATTCATCCCCACAGCTGCCAAAATAGATTTTTTCTTTTTTTTTTTTTATGGTAATTTTTATTTATTTTTTTGTTTTCAACATTTACTTCCATAAGATTTTGAGTTCCAAATTTTCACCCCATCTCGCCCCTCCCCCCACCCCAAGATGGCATGCATTCTAAATACCCCTTCCCCTAGTCTGCCTTCCCTTCTATCTCTCCCCACCTCCTCTTATCCCCTTCCCCTGCAATTTTCCTGTAGGGCAGGATGGATTTCTGTACCCCATTTCCTGTATTTCTTATTTTCCAGTTGCATGTGAAAAATTTTTTTTTAAACATGTGTTTTTAAAACTTTGGGTTCCAAATTTTCTCCCTTCCTCCCTCCCCACCCATCCTCATTGATAAGGCAAGCAACTAAATATAGGTTATATATGTGCAGTTATGCAAAACACTTCCATAGTAGACATGCTGTGAAAACTAATTCTATTTCCCTTAATCCTGTCCCGCCCACCCATTTATTCTATTCTTTCTTTTCACCCTGTCCCTCCTCAGAAGTACTTGCTTCTGATTACTCCTTTTCCCAATCTGACCTCCTCTCTATCATTCCCCTACTCTCTTGTCCCCTTCCCCCTCTATTTTCCTGTAGGGTAAGACAGATTTCCATACCCAATTGAGTGTGTATGTTATTCCCTCCTTAAGTCAAATCCTATGAGAATAAGATTCACTCATTCCTTTTCACCTTCCCCCGTTTCCCCTCCACTGTAAGAGCCTTTTCTTTTCTGGTTTTTTTTTTTTTGGTGGGATAATTTACCCCCTTCTACCTCTCCCTTTCTCCTTCTCCTAGTATATTCCTCTCTCACCCCTTAATTTTATTCTCCAGATATGACCCCTTCATTTTCAACTTACCCTGGGCCCTCTATCTATCTATCTATCTATCTATCTATCTATCTATCTATCTATCTATCTATCTATCTAT